GAGCCACTGAGGGGACATTTTGGAAAGGGGAGGGATCCAACTATTGAACCAGGATAAAAGTTTTATAATATATATATATATATAAGCTGTAACGTTTATTAATAAAATAAATATATCATTACTGTTAAAAACAATTGTAATAAGCAATACACCGTTCTAATTTTCATTAACGGTATAGAATAACTATGGGTAATTTTAGAGTTTCACGAAGGGAATAATAAAGTATGTATACTTGTAATACTTGTCTTTCTTTTTATTTTCTGGAATTTTATTTTTTTTTACCTTTTGAACCCCCACCCACGGTTTGACTATAAGATGTATTTCTCCTGCTACAAGAATAATAATATAATAATGAATGGATTGAATTTAGCTAAAATAAATGATAAAAGTATGATTAACAAAAGTTAAGAACAAAACCTGCTGATGTGTTAGTTGATGAGATCATAAACTTTTTCGTACAATTCAGATATATATACATGCGTGTTACTTTATCTGAAACTCATGGTATCACTATTGATTTACTATCAGTCCCCTGTGTCCAGTTAATATTTGTTCTAGCTTTAAGTTTCATTTAACTAAAGTGTCTGTTCACTACTCTGCATAATCGTGTTTTCTTTTGTTAACGAGAAATATCTTTCGCAAGAGCAAACTTCCAATTGAACTGATTAATCTTTTGTTTATCTTAGTCTTCCCTAATTTTGAACTAATAGACTAGAGGGAAGACAGCCAGTCAATAGTAGATATCGATAACTCTCAGACTAGTTTTGTCTGACTGGATAGTGAGAGTCAAAAGATCAAAGTACATAGCACGTTTTTGAGCTAAACCACTGGATTCACACTCCAGAGACACTAACTACCAGTACCTATCTCCGTTTTAATACTAAAGAAGAATGTTTTTAAGGATCTCTCTGGAAAGAAACAAGCGCGGTATTACCTTAATATATATATTTGTCTGGAAATATTACTTACGGTTTCACACACATGTGCTTACGTGTAGTAAAGTTAAACTCAATTTTATCGCTCTCATAACATAAAAAAAGAGATTTTCTAAGAATAGAAAATCCGAGTTGAGAATAATAATCAAACGAAGTTCCCTGGGTTTTAGATGTTTGGTTAAATGATACTGAAGTTAAAAAGTATTCTTCATTTAGAGATTGTTTTCAGTTTATGAAATATTTTGACATTGACTTAGAAATATGTTTAAATAAAGACTATATGTGCTGTTATTCAAGCAAGCTGTTGAAACTTAACTCTCCTGGGTAGTTTAAATTCTTTCTTTTCGATTTAACATGTACTTAGAAGAAAATGTGTCACTCATGTAATACCCCCAGGTGTAATAAAGCTGCCCAAGTGTCAGACACCTGCTGGTCAGTCAGTGTCAAGAACTATCACGTCTCGCCCTGCAAGAGTCTTTCCAACAATTTGCACAAGGTCGTGACCTCAGTCAGAGATCAAAATACTAAAGGGAACAGCAGGAAACTGGACAGCAATAAACCCTTTTTCTGACGACTATGTAATACTTATAGTTCTTGCCTTGTACGTATTTAATGCAAAATGTAAAAGACGTTAGATACCCCGCTTAACGACCACCTGTCCATTGTCATCTTAGCGACTACTGGTCAGAAGAAAACAGAAATATATTCAAAACAATAATGGCTGGAGACGGCTTAAATGGGTAATGAAGAAAAACTTCTTTATTTTCTTTTTCTTCATTACCCATTTAAGCCGTCTCCAGCTATTATTAGTCTCAAAGTGGGTTCCTCGTCATCGAATATTCAAAACAAGTACTTTATGAATAAGGTATTTAAAAAGAACTAAAATTTCGATAATGTATATAAATTAACGCATATTTGAAAAATCATGAATAATAACTCAGCTTCTGTATATATATACTTCACCAACAGAATGCTTCATTAAGAAAATGAAAAACAGTTTAATATCAGTTTGAACACACTTAGTGTACGATATTAAGCTAAAATAAAAATCATTAGTCTTTACAATCACGTCTTAGTAGTTACGTTATATTAATTTTTTTACTTCATTTCGTAGGTTTCTTCAAGTCATTCAAGAAATCTGATTCATAATACAAAAGACTTTGTAAACTACAGCTTATTTTTAATACAACTTAACAGAAACTTAAAAATTTAGGAAGGAGTCATTACTCTAGATCTTATGTTGTGTTTTTTTATACATCTAAAAACAGAAATACTGTAATTAATTTTAATACCTTCTTGCTTGTATTGACATTTGAACTGACGTGGTCTACCAAATGTTTTCTTCTATCCCCATTCTAAATAATGTTGAAGTTGTTATCCTCCAAAACTCAACCAGTCATCTGTCAACAGGGATCCAGTATCCCATTCAGGCTGTCTTCAAGCATTATCCAGTGCGGGGGAACATGCCCCTGGAAAATAAAAAACATAATTCTTTCTTTATTCATTCAGCACACGCATATGAATTTACAAGTTTTTTTATTCACTTCACAATTTCATACTACTTTGCCCCCTCCCCCCTCTGAGAAAATGTCTGTGAATGTCCATGGCTCTAGATCACAACTACGATTCAGCTCCGTAGTTATTCCTTGATATATATAACAGAAACGTACAAACTAAAATTTCTTGTTATAGCGCAACAGAAACTTAGTAGTATAGCTCCTACACAAACTTGGGAAATAAAGATTTAGCAATATGTTAGTTTTCGTTAAGACATAACACGGCTTCAAACAATATATATATATATATATGATATGTACTTGTCTTTCTGCATACGTTTACATATAATATGTGAAACACTTATGATCGATCTGAGTGTATGCTTTAATGTAAAGTTTTTACATACTATTTTTCACTGAACTTTGCCTATCTGTGTACGATACATCATATGCTGTGTAAAACAGCGTACATGCGCGAAATTCAAAACAAACAAACGAACAAATGCGATACATGTCAACAGATTATGCATTTTCGGGTACCAGAAACCGTAAAATTTCTAGGTCTCTAGCTGGGTGCTAGTTTACGGTGTGAAGTTTTTAGATGTTACATGTCAACAGATTGTCTCTTCCTGAATACTAGTCTACGGTGTAAAGATGTGTTTATATCTGGGTATTATTCTATTATGTAAAGTTTTTATTTGTCTCTATCTGAGTATTATTGTACGATGTAACGTTTTTAATTGTCTCTCTCTGAATATTATTCTATGGTGTAACGTTTTTAATTGTCTCTCTCTGAATATTATTCTATTATGTAAAGTTTTTAATTATCTCTCTCTGAGTATTATTGTACGATGTAACGTTTTTATTTGTCTCTATCTGAGTATTATTGTACGATGTAACGTTTTTAATTGTCTCTCTCTGAATATTATTCTATTATGTAAAGTTTTTAAATATCTCTCTCTGAATATGATTCTATAGTGTAACGTTTTTAAGTGTCTCTTCCTGGATATTAGTTTCGATGTAAATGATTTAGAAGCTATATGACAACAAATAGTCTGGGCACACTGTAAGATTATGACATGCTGCTTTTCAAAGGGTTTTTGTCTGTCATTTTTTCTTTTACTATGTTAATTATCCAAATTGTTTAGAAACGTTTACCGTCAACTAAGTGATGTTATGAGCACCTAGTGATCCATGCCAGGGTATAGAAACTTTAAGTTATTTACAAGAGATAGGACACCAGTCTTTATGTCTTATTCTTTCCTGCTGAAGCCTTGGTTTGGTTTGTTTTGAATTTCGCGCAAAGCTACACGAGGGCTATCTGCGCTAGCCGTTCCTAATTTAGCAGTGTAAGACTAGAGAGAAGGCAGCTAGTCATCACCACCCACCGCCAACTCTTTTAGCAACGAATAGTGGGATTGATCGTAACGTTATAATACCCCACGGCTGAAAGGGCGAGCATGTTTGATGAGACGGAGATTCGAACCCGCGACCCTCAGATTGCGAGTCAAGCGCCCTAACCACCTGGCCATGCTGAACGCAACCCAATTATTACTGGCATCAGATTCTTTCAATTTTATAATTTACAAAGAATGCTCAACTTGAATGATAAGAAACTGCATGTAAAAGATACAGTAATGAGGCGGTTAGGCTAACTTTGTCAGTTTTATTGTTTATATGTTAATAAGTTGCCCTGAAATCGCAATAATAACACCAACTGAAAAAAAGAGATAGCAAGCCTTTGGAAATATAATTCATTTTATTCAAACACAAACCTTAGATGAGACATATAGAGTATATGTGTGTGTGTGTATATATATATATATATACATATACAAACATGGCGTACATGTTATGTGTGAAACTATATATATATAGGTTTGGTTTTGACATTAGATATTCAATTGAATACCTTAACTTATTTTATATAGATCTTTGGTTTTCTTGACTACAAGCAACTTAAAGAATGATTTAGAAACTTAAAGAACATTAGGAATCTTAACATATTAGAAATTTATATTATACCTTAAGACACTTGTAGCTTCGAGGCTGATAATTCACTCACATTGACAGAGATCGGTTAAAATCTAAACACTTTCGCTTTATACTTTAACAAATATTATTCTTCAGCCACTACTTTTAAAGTTTTTCACAGCTTGTAGTTTGTTTATTTTTATTATTTAAAGGCACTCTCTTAGTTTGTAAGTAGGTCTCATTAACCAAATGCTACATGTTAAATAATTATAAACATTTTCCCCAAAATAAATATTGGTATAGAAAATTTACAGTTATATGTGCCACTTTTAGAAAAGTTTTTTTTACAAAGGCACGTTTACAACGAATGGAAGTTTAAGATGATTTGGCGAGGTTTATATAAACACATCAAGAGAAGGCTCACTTTATCATTCAGTCTTCGAACTACACCGTTGCACTAGTCTCATGTACTGACTTCTCAGTCTAGGGGCCACTGTTGCACCAGTCTAATGTACTGATTTCTCAGTCTAGGGGCCACTGTAACTTACTATATTAACATATATATATATTTATATAACAAACACAACTAACAAGTCTAAAACAACATGGGAAGATTTCGACGTTGTGGATCACTAGATGGTCCATACCCAGCAGGTCCGTAGCCGTACGCTGACATGTAGGCTGAGGCTGCGTAAGACGCTGGGCTGAGATGTGCCATACTGACCGGAACTTGGCTGGTGGACATGCCGGACATCGGAGAGTTGATGGAAGTTAATCCTGGCGGATAGAATCCTGCTGCACCGTAGAGAGAACCAGCCGTTGTGCCAGAAGAATGAGCAGTAATATCGTTTTTGTAGGTAACGGATGGGGATGCAGGAGTAGCATTAAGTTTAGCAAAACTGGATGTAGATTCCGAAGGTGTCAAAGGTGTGCAGTACGGAGAACCCATGGAGTATGGAGAGAAAGAAGATTGCATGGCGGCTGCTGCCATTTGTTGCTTTTCTGAATATCCAGCAGCTGCTTGCTGCATGGCTGCAGAAGTCATATAAGCTCGAGGATCCATGTGTCCAGGGATGTAGGGCAAAGGAAAGGGATAAGTTTCTGGTTTCTTCATCTGTGGTTTGGGTTTCCTTCTAGGTCGGTACTTGTATTCGGGGTGTTCCCGCATATGTTGCTCCCTTAGCCGCTTGGCCTCATCAATAAAAGGTCGTTTTGCGTCCTCGGATAACTGTTTCCACTCAGCTCCTAATCTTTTGCTGATCTCGGAGTTATGCATCTTAGGGTTTTCGAGAGCAATCTTTCGACGCTGAGCACGAGACCACACCATGAATGCATTCATGGGGCGTTTGATATGTTCTTGTTTGCCGCTCCCAGGACTGGGACCCTCGGGGCTGATTGTACTATTCATTCCGTCAACCATGATCGCCACGTTAACAGCTCGCCTCGTCTAAAGTGGATCAGAACATGCAACTACTGAGCTTTTGAATCCAGTCTCCAGGTGTTCATTCTGTTCTGATTGGACGAACAGATTGGAACTCGGCGAGTAGCCAATCATATTTGTTGATGAAACCTATCAAACACTTCCCACTCAGATTTCATTGTTCAGCCATAAAATGGGAGGGGGAAGAAGTGTTTTTAAAATGTAAGGTAGGGTAAACTAACTTCCATATTTGTTTACTGGTACTATTTCTTTTTTTTAGTTTGACCGAATTTACTCTGAGAAAACCGAGTTTTCTTATTATTGCCCGTTATAGTTCTCGTGGTAGCAACGTGTCTCTATCCGAAATTAATAATTTGATGAATCATCATTCGGGTATTACAAATATGCTTAATTAACAAATTTAGGAAAATTCATGTATTCTTGAAACAATTTCCAATAGCATTCTCGAATAAATTGCTTAAACTTGATCTCATGAAAAGTTCAGCGTCAATTTTTTACGGTTATATTTAATAAAATAATATTCGTGTTTATATTCTACAGCTTGCCAGAAATTTCTAAAAGTTATCATACCATAAAAATATTTCAATGCTCTTCTTGACTCTCTCTCCAAATATTGTTTTATTACATGTTTTACAGCTTTTACAATAAAGAAGAATATTTTTAGAACATGTACGGCGTTTCGATCACTGGTGGGATCATTCTCAAGTTTACAACGCTAGAAATCGGATTTCGGTACTCATGGTCAGCAGAACCCAGATAGTCCATTGTGTAGCTTTGTGCTTAACTACAAATAGACATTCTCAAGTACACATGTTTTAACGGTAAAGAAGGTTTTAGTATTTAAACCAACATTCAACAATCTAACAATGTATTTAAATTTTAGAATTGATAGTGGTTACTTATACAAGTGCATATCAGTCCGCGCGAATTGATAGATTATTTATTTATGACTGAACAGAAAAAAACAAACAAAAAGTGAATAAATATGAAAATGTGGAATATGTTATGCGAAATACTTGCATAAGATTGGGAATATCTGGGGAAATAACGAGAATTCTCTGAGTTTTATTTTGTTAATTTCGGGTTCATGTTCAGAAAAACTGTGGTTGTTTTTGTTCATATGTCCAAATATTGAAAACTGTTTATCATACTATTAAAATATTTCAATGCTTTGTTGACTCTCTCTCTCCCTGTATTGAAACCTTCTTTTAACGCTGTGTCTTATTGTCTGTTTCATAGGTTTTGGACAACACCTGCAGAAGAATATGGTTGAAATTCTAAATGAACTTTCAGTATTGGTACATACACTTTTATTACAAGATTGTATACGATAAAAAAGTGAGAAGAATTTCCGTAGTAAACAATCAGGTTATAAAATATAATTGAAGTTAGTGATACGATTTAGAATGTTATTAATTAACAATTCTTAATACTTTGTTCGAGAAATTATGGTTACTAAGATCTACAACCAAAACTCACTGCACAATATGAACAATATAATAAATTAGACCTAGTTTCAGAGAAGATTCGTATGTAACACACAATGTCAAAAATAAAATTCACAGTTTTATCCTGTATTTAGTTTTGCTTAAGCATTCTTAAAACAGCTAGACAATAGACAGACATATAGACAATCCGTATTACTATAAGGCAATATAATGACTGTTGATATTTTTCAAGAAGCTAATTATAACTTTATTCTTCCAAATAATTAATTGGAAATATATATCTTTTTATGGGGAAAAGAGCCCCCCCTTTCCGATGGCTCAGCGGTAAGCACGAGGGCATATAACGCTAAAATTCAGGGTTCGATTCCTTCTGTGAGTATAGCTCAGATAGCCAATTGCGTTTCAACAAAAATAAATAGGAAAAGAGAAAAAAACATACTGTTAGAAACGTTGAATCAACTTTGTGGCTGTTGTTATAATTGTTCAGGTGTTAATCTAATACATATTAAGTATTTTTACATTATGTCTACATTTACCATAAACGTAGTCGCACGAAGCTGATGTAGGTCGCAAATTAGTAAAATTATTTGATATTTGTCACACACAGATGCATTATTCGTTCCATGCAGCAAGTTTGAAACATATTGACAATGGCCATAACGTTTGATTCTCACGTGTCAATGAGAGTGCGTTGTGATGCGCTACAAAGTTTCATTCTGAAGCCAAACAAACTACGTAACCGATGAGTGGTGAGACCTTCTTCCGTACCATTCATCTTTTGAACACAGGATACACGATCACGCTGAAAAAATAGATAAACAAAAAAACGGTATAAGCCAGAGTATTCATTGTTTGTTATGGATTATTGCCATGTTTGATGCCAGCAGTATAGATTTGTGGTGTTTGTGTTGAAGGATTTGAGTTCACTTTGTCACCCATACATTCAAAAGCGGACTTTTAATACCTTCGTGTTATTGATCGAAACAATGCTAAACTTACTTCCTTTCCTCTTGATTTTGAACAGAAATGTACATAAAAGTAAAAATTGTGTAATTGATAGAATTTCTGAAGTACCGAGAACTGTTCAGTACATAGTGAACAGTATAGGTATGTGTATGGAAATATTTCTGCCGTGCACGTAAAGGTTGGATTGTTCTACAGTTAGTTACATGTCTGAATACAATAAGCATTACTTATGATCAATCACTTTAAATTACAAGGCTTAAGAAAGAAATGTCCATAATTTAGAAAACAACTGTACTTTGATATTTATGTTTATTTTCTCGCAGTTACCGTATTCCAAATGGAACAAACTGTTATGTCTTACGAATTAGTATATGAAACGGCGATGTTATATTCCCTAAAAAAAAGAAGAAACAAATTTATCTCGCGCTGTAGGAATGAACAAGTTTATCGATTATCAAAAAATGATTATTTCGTATTGTCGTAAAAGAAAATTGTTTTAATTTTCTAAATTTCAAGGAAGATCATATGAATAAACTATTAAAAATTTATCCAAATTAAAAAAACAACATAATTATGTGGTGAACGATGCGTCATTCGATCTTAAAAACTCCGATAAAGTTTGTTATGGTGAAACGTTGACTGCATAATTATTTTTACACTGATTTTAATCATTTCTTTGTATTTTCGAACGCTGTTACCCTGAAACTGCATTTGCTTTTCATTCGCGTTACTTCAACAAAACATTTTAATATGCTCAAGAAATAATAATTTATTATGTTTCAAGAATATGCGAACGTATTACGTTTCAGAAATAGAACATTGCTTTGTTTAAAAAATAATAATATATTTTTAAATTTTACCGCTGAGTAAATATATAACGTTTCAAGTTAAAACACATTATGCTTCATGAGTGAGCACCGTTAATACGTTTCGAAATAAGCAGATTCCTTATGTTTTACGAAGATTAATGTGATTTGGAAAATATATATAGAAAATAGGTTAGAGTCTTGCATATGTTTTTTTTTTTGTTTGTCTTTTGTTCCCTTTTTCAGTCGTGGTAGGTCTTTAGGTATAATACCAAGGGTGTTCAGGACTCGAGGGATTCTAATTCACACTGCTCTTGGATTATTTTTGTCTAAAGTGTGAGATGAGGTATAAGGTTCGAAATCGGAATGAGAATAAATTTAAAATTAATACAATGAAGATTGATTCATAACCATACGTGAACAAAGAAAGTTAGTAACCGAATATTTATGAACAGAGATCTATTCTTGTTGTTTGTAATTAAGCACAAAGCTACACAATGGGCTATATGTGCTCTGCCCACAACGGGTATCGAAACCCGGATTTTAGCGTTGTAAGTCCGCAGACATGCCGCTGTGCCACTGGGGGGGGGTAAAGAGGTGTAAGTAGTATAATTTTAGTTATAATTGCACAATAATTAAAACGCAGGAAGAGCTTTTTGTAAGTAGAGTATAAGCAAAGCAATCCTTGTGTATGTCAAAATGGAATGGTTCTTTTTGTTTTGTTTGTTAAGTTTCGTGCAAAGCTACTCGATGACTATCTACGCTAGCCGTTACTAATTTAGAAATTATAGACTAGAGGGAAAGCAGCTAGTCAACATCACCCACTGTCAACTCTTGGGCTATTTTACCAACGGATAGTGGGATTGACTGTCACGTTATAATGCCCCGACGGCTGAAAGGGCGAGCATGTTTGGTGGGACGGGGATTCGAACCCGCGACCCTCAGATTGCGAGTCAAGCGCCCTAAACACCTTGTCCTGCCGGGCCCATGGATTGAAAGTCAAGCGCCCTAACAATCAGGCTATGTCAGGCCTATTGTATCTGAATATACAGGGAGATGAGTATGTTACATTAAAACGGGTTTGAACCTGCAAATCTGTAAGTTACGTAACAGCTACAGCCGAAATAACATTACGATGGAAAAGCATGTATTAAAACTACTTTCTGACATTGTTTGATGTTTTGTGAGTATTGTGATGCCATCAAAAAATGAACACTTTCGGATATTTAATAGCCCTTTCCGGTGCAAAATATTCATACATTCACATCGTGGCGTGTTTAGATGAGGGATTTAGAACTTGCAATACGGAGAGATCCATTGTACTTAATGGCATTGGAAAACAAAGGACTATATATCATTTTGGGGTACATGAACCATCTAGAAAGAGACCAGCATCAAGTCGTACTTCAGCAGTGGTAAGCAAAGTGCGGCGAAGGTCAGTGGTGAAAGTCGTGCACATGTCCCGGGCAACAATATGCAATATAATCAAGAAGGATCTTCGTCTGGAAAAAAACATAAGTCAGAATTACACAAAGTGCTTCCACGACACATTCGTTCAACCGTCGCATACCTCAAAACCTGGAGAATGAAACAGGTAGTTATGCAATTTCATACAAAGACATATCGGCCAAGCCGCCGGACGTAGCGTGTTTAGATTTCTGTGCGATCACTCTATTGTGACAGGTACTGGGAAATCGTCGTCCTCGTACACTAGGTGGATTATGGAAAGCCAGTAGGGAGGAAGGGTGTGCTTTAAACA